TTACTAATTCGTTCGCACGAATTGCTAATTGCTTGATGTCCTCACTATTTCACCAAACAATGTCCATCCAAGAGAGAACTTCTCTCCAGTCTCTGTCTGTGTTGCACTTCGCAAGCTTTAGTGTCTTCAGTCAAGTAGCCTACACAGGTCACATCGATGTACTACTGCCACCTGGTCGTTGACTCCCCAACCTTGCTTTGGCCCCGTTGTCTTCCGTGGTGTCTGTCCACGCACTGTTGTCTTCTCCGGCAGCCTTGTCTTCTGTGGTGCGCCCCGCACGGGCGGATTCCCTGTCTTCTTCGGCGGCCTCATCTTCTGTGGTGCACCCTGCACCGGCGGATTCCCAGCCTTTGATGCTCCCTGCATAACGGGTATCCTGTCTTCTGTGGTACTCCCTGTACCTTCGGCCTCGTCTTCTTTGATGCGTCCTGCATCGCCGGATCCGCAGTCTGTTGGCTTACCGTTATTGTCCCTGTCACCTGCACCTGCGGTCTGAAAGTCAATGTCGTTGCTTGCTCCAGCGGGGCTGCTTTCGCCGGGGGATAGTGCCGCTCCGACTCGGTTGCCGTCACCTGAACATGAAGGTCAGTGTCTTGTGGTCGATTGTCCGTGGTCTGAGTTGCTGTCCCGGCAGTACGGCGGTCGATGAGTTCAGCGTGCTCCGGCTGATCGGCATGCACCAGCGGAGCCGTCCACAACGGTGGATCAGTACAGTGCATCGATGGAGATGTCCGCAACGATGGAGCTATCGATGTGCAGCTAAAGTTCTCCGCAGCAGTTGGATCAGGACTGGAAAAGTCGGTGCATCCACGAAGCTCGATCCGATGGACAGCCGCCATGCTCGCCAGTATCACGGGACGGGGCTCCACGTCAACAGCAGGGCTATCATCGCTCGCAGCGGCCTCCCTACTCGTGGTCTCCCCATTCACGCGACAACCCAGCCTAGCATCAACTTCTGCCCCGGACCGCTGAACAGGCTTGCTCGTCATTCATCTTCATCCTGATACGCACTGGTAGAATCATCGGAGCTGTACATCGCTTCCAATTCGGCGATCATTTTATTGATCCTCTGCAACACACCTACCGCTGAACCAGTTGCCTGTGGATTACGTCTGTCGAGGAATGGGCTGATCCACAAATCTGCCGCTCCAAGGAGTCTCCCACCTTCCGAACGTCAATGATGACATCGTTGATGGCGTCCACGATTCTGTCATTTCCAGTCATTATAGTCCAAAATCCCGTCAATATCCCACCAGCTTCCACCATTTGTAGCGGGATCCTAGTACTGGGCTCTTGTCCGACAAGTCCAGCAAAACGCAAGAAAAGGGGACACACGGGATTTCTAACTCTGAAAGAAGATCTCATTTATTTCGCCAAGCGGACTCTGCGGGCAACTTGCCGCACCGCTACCAGAACTGCAACTGATCAATTCCCAGTGCAGCATAGACGTCTATATACATGCACACAGTCTGAACAAATGTATACAATTGTAGCAACTATACCCAACCCTGGAATCAAGCCAAGCCCTACCCGCGAAAGTGAACAAAAGAACCCAACCTATTTGTAGAGCCTATTTCCGGTGTCACGGTCTCACTTCTCCGGCGTGCTAGCTTCTCCGAAAGGGAAATTTCGCTTCAACACGCATGTACAAAATTGCGCACTCCGAGTGTACATTTTCGTCAACTTTATTAATGTGTGCTGAGTCATTCAGGGTTGTACTGGCGCACGTAAGATTTTAGGATATTTACAGTACCAGTCGAGTACAGAATTTCCGTGGCGCGCACAACTCCCAATAACCCAAAAGACTTGAAAGGAACATTTATTTTAAGCCGTGGTTGCAAAAAAAAAAGACAAAATGGACCACGAACGAAAAGGAACTCGACGAAGGAGTTCGTTCTTAATTATTCCTCCATGAACACACATACATGCATGACGCTATGATCAGAATGCTTGCAAGACCGTGGAATGACTTGATCCACAGGAAGTGTTATATAACACATTCTTGAGTGTCCCTCAATGTGTTGTTATTAATGGGCCTGGTAGACTTCAGAATACATCCCGAGGAAAAGTACGCACAGCGGACACATGAGCATGTATCGTGCTCTTGTAACGTGCACTGTAACGTGCTCAATTATCAGCCGAATCCACCCGGAGAAGCTAGCACGCCGGAAAAGTGAGACCGTGACACCGGAGCGCGCGCCAGCCAGAACCAAAACTAGCAGGTACTTCAGGGGCGCGCCGCCGGAGCCCCTCCGCCGGAGCACTAGTGGTGCTAGAAAGCAATGACAACAAAAGTGTGCATAGACTGTCCGTTACAATATAAATACATAAAACTTACATCAATCACAAACAACATGTCCTTATTTCAATTAAAATTGGTGTAAAATCTCATCTTATCTAAAAACAAAGAAGATACGCCCTATGCTGTTCATAATTATCAGACGTTATGTACAAGAGACTTGCTCCGTGTGTACATGTACGTTTTTAGCATGTTGTTCGGATTTGACGCAAGAGGGCCAGGTTATACACGGCGTACGGTACGCAGTGGCATGGGCGACTGCGCTGCATGATATGCAATGCAAAATAATAATGTCGAGCGCAATTTGAGTCCCCCGCGCAAGTTTAAACTTGCGCGCATTAATTTCCTTGCTACAAATTGCGCACGCAAGTTTAAACTCGCGCACTACATAGATTTCCCCGCCACGCATACAAAGCCGCTAAACTATTTTTTTTCCCCGGGTATACTCATGCAGATATGTAACATTATTTTTAAAGCAGATTTTTTTCTCTGATTTAATAGCATCACTGAGCTTCGGGAGACAATGCCTTAATGCCTTTTTTAGAAACATTTTATTAATATGCTAATGATGTTGACTGTATGGAAATTGGAGAGATATAAAGGAGTGGTAATGCGAACAATTTATGCACTTTGCATCATGATGTGTATTATTGTTTATGGCTCATTAGGATTTTTGTTTAATAAACAACATATTTATTCATTAAGTCGAATTAATTAATTAAATTAAAAAAAATTCATTAATTAAATCATTTGCAAATTTATTTACTTTTTAAAATAATTACCATTTAATATTCATAGCGTTTTTAAGTTATAAACATTAATATGAATGATTGAGCCTGCAATAAAATAATTGTTATAAATTTAATTAAATAATTAAATTAGTAATGCGTTCATTAATTTTGTTTTCAAATTACATGTATGCATTTTTGAAGTGTACACAGCGCTCGAAATGTTATGCAAGTATTTTTAAAAACAATATGAATTATTGTACCGTCCAATTTATTAATTGCTAAATTAATGAGTATTTTTTTAAGAATAAGTACCTTTTTAATTGTAAAATACATGTAATGTAATTTAAAGCATTTTAAAAATAATGTAAATGATTACTATAACGTCAAAACTTGAACAATTGAAGGGATCATAATCATTCTTTTTACGTTAACAGCGGGTTACACCTAGGAAATTATGATTTATTTACATTCAAGAATATAAATAAAATGCTAATTAGGTTTACAAAGCAAAAAACTTGAAGCTGGTCTCCATTATTGAACAACTTCAGTGCACTTTCCAAGCAACTTCGCCGCTAGTGTGCTTAAGTTGATTGCTTGCCCGGTCCCCTCCCCGGCCCCGCCCCCACGTACCCTTAAACAACTTCTCTGATAAGCACTGCTAAATCTCAATGTTTCTTTTCATAGACGCTAATTGAATTCCCCTTTTTATTTATTTCTTTGTTCATTCATTTATTCCATTATTTCTCCATGTACTCGTGTTTTGAAAAAAAAATTCTTCATCAATGAAAATCCCGCCCGCAAAAAAAGATTGCGATTGCCTTTGCGCAAGTTTAAGCACGCAAATTAAAATGGCGCAGTGTAATTTGCGTGCTTCGGGAGTCCCTCGCGCAAGTTTAAACTTGCGCGCGCAAGTTTAAACTTGCGGTTGGGACTCAAATTGCGCTCGACAATAATACTGCATTATGTATCCATGCTGCAGCAACCTCGTCCCCAGGGTGTCGAGCAGTACGCGCCCACCACTACCTGCTCTCTCACCCTGGTATTGGATCATTTGCATGTGCAAGATTTTTGCACACGTATGCAAATGAGGAACAGTCTGGTGCCTGGAAATGCGTTACACATTAGCGTTTGTTTTTGTATGCGGTGTCTGGGGTAAAAACAGAGACAATTCGTAGCAGCGCGAGCACGGCGTGCTGAGTTACGAAAATACGATTTTTGAAATCAAACTGTTACGATCTTATCGAGACAACATGCAGTATCATATTTCATATTAATATGAGCAAATTGGAAAGGAAATTAGTATTTTCGAGAAGGCGTGGACGAATGATCGCGAAAACACGTACTGCACGTTGTGAATATATAGCACCAAGTACACGATAAAAATCCATTACTAGCAAATTGCGGTATCCAATCAGAGCACAAGTACAGAGTTTCCTATCCAGGGTTGACTATTGGAAACGCGGTTGGAAATAAAGTAAGCACTGGGGACGAGGTTGATGCTGCAGTGCTTTCCTACCTCCATGGTGCTATGCTGCATAATACTTTAGCATCATCTCTAGTTTGCCATGTGTGTTCGATGACGCTAGAAAAGTTGCTCACCTTTTCTCTTCCCTTGTGCTTGTAAACAGTGTGCCAATGTGTGCACGTCCTGTGGTCAGTGTGACCATGATACTTGTGATAGTCTATAACTATAGTCATCATAAATGTGATCGACCATAACCACATACTAGTGTGACCATAAAGCTCACTCTGTGCACGACAGTGATAATAATGATCGAGTGCATACTTTAACCATGGAGTTTTCAATAGTCCTACTTTTATTGGGGCCTACTGTCTAACGTATAAGGTTGCAACTTGCATGGCACGCCTGCAATTCGAAATCCATCAAAACTTGATGCAAATCTCACACTGGTCGAGAAACCAAAGGAACCAACCAAATTTTGTGCGAACCGACTAGTACTACTACTAGGCTACTAGTACTAGTAGTACTTTGTACTAGTTGTAGAATATTTAGGAAAACCCAGTACGAGCACTAGCACTACTCGTTCTCATGATGGCAGAGTCTGCCAGTGGAAGTGCTGTACCTGTACATAACATCATGGAGATGACTATTTGGGATCCAACTACAAGCAAGGATTGGGATCAACAGAAAGCTACTCATCAGTGTATATTAAGAATCAAACGGTAGGCCTAAATTGAGGGTCATACATGTCATAGGGTGTAGGGTAGAAGGGAATCCCGGTACACACCGTTATTTCCTTTTTCTGTTTTGGATTTCCTCCAAACAAAAACAGTAAACGAACCATTGACCATTTTGTCAGGAGTAATTGCAGAATACCCCGCCACTCGGAAATACACCCCTAAAATCTCTGGCTACTTGGTTGGAATCACTGGAAAAGAATTACTGAAAAAATCCTAAGTCCAAACCAAACTACCCTGTTGCCGGCTACGCGGCTGCGAAGTGGGAGTCCTCTTTACTATGCTTGAGAAACGGAGCAACACAAAAGGAATGGGAGTACGCCGATACGGAATGGGAGTGCAGTGGAGCATGACGTGTGTAGGCCTAGTATGTACAGGTAGCGCTGAGGTTTATTGAGGGCAATCAACCGTGACTCCGTAGCCGGCTATGAGGTGCATTAAATAGATCGATTGGCGGGGTATTCTCCAATTGTGCCTTTTGTCATTTAATAGTTTTGTGAAACGGTCAAACGGTATGAAGATAAATATGGTCATTCCAATTCCGGGACATACCATTATTCCGTTTTACTGTTTTGGCTTTCCTCAAAAACATAAACAGTAAACGAACCATTGACCGTTTTGTTGTTCTACAGTTTTGTAAAACGGTCAAACGGTATTAAGTCACTACAAAACAATTACCTTTTTGTTGCTCTTGGTCACTCCAAGAATCACACCACACATTACTTAAACCACGGTAACACTTCTTAGTGCATGGCATGGTCCCCTCCAGCTCCACCCCCTTACCCACCACCACAAAATGCACGGACTGTTAAATTATGACTACACTGAAATTAAAAAAAAAAGTCGGCAAGATTACCATATATGCGAAGTTCACTAATTTTCCTCTGTAGGCTATTGACTAACAAGCCCCCAGATAGCAATTTCATGTCACCAAAGTCAATTTGAGCAGTGAGAAAATACAAGCATTTTCTTAGAAAACACTTAGGATTTTTCAGTCCACTCTCATAGGGTTTGTACACAGAGTGTTGAGTGAACTTCGTATATATATGGAAATCTTTCCTTTTCATTGATCGTTGTTCTTTAATAACTTTAATTCCAAAATAAAATGCCACATGTTTTTTCTATTAAATGGATTTGGTAGTTGGGATAATGTGGGAAATTTGTAAAGCAATAAGAAGGCCATATCTATGGGAGCTGGGTAAATGAAAATGACGAATTTTTTACCAAAATGACCTTGACTTTTGCCTGAATCACATGACCTTGACCTCCAGCTATTTTGGAAACCTTGAAAATCAATTCAGCACCCCAAAAATCCATAATTTTGACACAAAGATCATCAAAATCGGCTCATTGGTCACTGATTATGTATGACATTTAGCGTTTTAATTATTCGCATGGCAGCCATCTTGGAAATGTGCAAATTAGGGCATCATGGGACATGTTTTTTTCGCTGGCAACATCAAAATTCTTTAATCCCATGTCCTAGGGATTCTAAAAATCATCTTGGAATTTTGTGGGGGTGTTTTTTTTTTGGGGGGGGGGGTGCATGGGAACCCATTTTTCCTGCCGTACTATTGAGTCGATTCTGATGAAGTACATGTAGGGGTGTTTGAATGTTAGCATCTTACACTTATAAGGTGGAATCAGTTGATTTAAATAATAATGTCCCTCAATCAAGTTAATTTGCCAAAAATAAGATTAAAAAAAAAAAGTGATTTAAATCGGTGATTTAAAAAAAAATCATTTTTATTTAAATCAGTGATTAAAATCAATGTGATTTAAATCAGTCAACCTGGTTGCAGACATCAATAGCCAATGTCAAAAAATGGCTGCCTAGACTGTCTGCTTCCGAGCTGATGTGTGCATCCAAATTATGCTCTAAAAACAATTTTTTTTCTGAAATGGCTTCACATTGCTGGAGCTTCCTTGGGTGGAATCACAAGGAGAGGTAAACATTGATGTGTTTAGTGGCAGATGACTGACGTCCGAGTGTGGAATTCTTTCCTTTGGATTAGAATTCCGGCTAAATTTATGCCCTCCTTTTGAAAATTCAAAAGATGCATGCCCACTTTTAAATAGTCAGAAACAGTTTTGGATACTGCAATTTGGTTTTGAAGTCGAGCGAAGTCAAACCAGATTGTCCAGAAAAGACCGAAGTTTCACTTCTTTTAACTGTTAATGATACAAATGACTTCTCTCTTGTCTTTATTTTGTTATAAAGTACCTTTTTGTTCCAATATTTGTGACTTGAATTGACTCGAGCTAAGTATTTGACTCAACTCAACTAAACACTGCGACTCAACTCCACCTTCTTGACCTAATGACTTGACTTAATTTGACTTGAGTCACTTCTTTAAAATGACTCGACTCGAGTCACAACAATCAGTGACTTGTTACAACTCTGATGATAACATCATGACATCACCTCAATTTTTACGTGTAATACATTATGCAGATATATTTAAATATTAAATGGATGTTCTGAGGTGTCCCGCGAATGGACAGTATTCACAGGTTGCTCTAACATTTTGCAACGAATGACCAGAGATTTCTCGACTGTTCAGCTGCTGGGGTCAGACAACACAGACACGCAGAAAAACCATCCACTATGCCACTGACTGATTTGCTGACCTAGAGATACGAACATGATATCGCACCTAAGTTCAGTAAAGTCTCGCAGGTACTGTGTCATCAGCAACAAGTGCACAAAACAGCTGGAACTCTATATTGACTGTAATCTGTACTTCTACATCTGCGCTGGCACATTTTCTTGATGCACACGGATTGTTCGCCTGTAACTCCTCATTGCTCATCCTGCACGTCACCAAACCACGTGACATGATACTCGTCGCGATTCCGAACCAACAGATCGGTGAAGATCTACATTTTCATTGATTACATCGTCATTGAGTAAATCATATTTCATCAGCAACATGTGCACAAGACAGCTGGAACTCTATACCGACGGTAATCTGTACATCTAATACAATCAGCATGGTTCCCAACACAAACACGGCCAGCTGCTCTTGGAAAGAGGTCTTGCTTGATGAGGGGTCGGGCTGGTTGGGGAGTAGAGAACATTCCTGTTTCTTGCCAGGTTGGACACTGGGCGTCAAGGCCTCGTAGTAGGAGTCGATCTGCAACTTGGCCTCAGTCCATGGATCGTCAGTGCTGTCGTCGGTGATGACGGGATAGACATCCTCCGTAGCTATTGCAGCGAAGCGGTTGGCTGTTGGCACCGCTCCTCAACCGCATCTATGAGAAGGTGGATGAATTTCTCAAGGCAAAGCGGCTTCTGTCGAGGTCGTGGAACAGCAGATGTAGTGTTGGCTACCGCTGGCTGTCTGCCAAGTCACAACAATTTATAAAGTGGAGTGCAAAGGTTCTCAGGCTTGATATGAGTCGTGCCTTCGATACTATCAGAAGAGACCGGTTGATGCAAGTTCTTCAGACGTTTCTTGACGAGTTGGAATTACGCATCATTCAACTTCTTTTAGCAAAAACATCACTAGTGCCCCGCCTGCAGAAGGGAACTGCGAACCCTTTGACACCACTATCGGCACACCTCAGGGAGACAGCCTGTCTCTAGTACTGTTTGTGGTATACCTAGAAGCAGCTCTTCATGACCTGCGTGAGAAACTGCAGATGCAAAGCAATAGAGATGGTGGTCTTCCTCTTGATGTAGCATAATATGCTGATGACAGAGACTTTTTGTGAGCTACATTTGTACATGTACTCGTGAGAATTTCTCGACACAGTGGAGCAGACCACACCAGGAAGTCTGCTTCAATGCTTTCTAACCACCAACCCCATGAAGACTGAGCACACTACAATGAAGCGTCAGGTAGACCGTGAAGGAGAGGAGTGGTGTATGACAAAGAAGCACGGCTCACTGTTGGGATATGGTTAAGATGTCGCTCACTGTGTAAGCAGCTAGCCAATGTAGCATTCCACACGATGAAAACACTATGGCTACTGCGTCATCATGTGAGTGAGGAACTCTGTCTGCGCCTCTACAACACGTTCGTGCTTCCAGTACTTCTCTACAACACGGGTACCTGGGGCCTCACTCAAAAACAAAAAGACCAACTGGACTCATTCCACCGAAGCCAATTGCAACAGATCATTGGCATGCGGTGGCCACATCGTATCTCCAAAAATGACTCTATCGTTGCTGCAATTGTGGTCCACTCAGCATCAGGACCCTTGAAGCACGCTGTCGACTCTTCGGCCATGTCCTGCGGCTACCGAGAAATGTACCTGCTTCTGCTCAGAAATTCATCGACGAGTACTTCGGCACAACAGAAGCAGGCATGGAAGGTTGGCCAGGACGCCCTTGGACCACACTAGCAATCGTTCTCGACAACGACCTGAAGATGGTGGGCAAGCGCCTACACAACACCGCAAACCTGGAGCAGCTACCGGTACAACTGTTGACAAAAGGAGGAGTGGATGGCACTGACGAGGAAAATTGTCGAGACTGCAGAAGTGAAACTGACAGAAATATTAATGACAGCAACGTGGAAACAGCTTCACACTCACAAAATGACATCATGTGACCCATGATGACATCACCACGACTCACTGTTCTGGACATAACCCTGCTAGTGTATGGACTTACTATACTTACATGTATGCTACCTTTGAATGACGACAAAAGATGCATGTCAAGGTGCTTCAAGAAAAGACGTGTGCAAAGTCCATGGGATTTTGCATGGAACAAGAAGAAGACCAGATCTATGTCCGTTCGAGGAACGTATAGCATTTAAATCTCATCCTCGTGCACAAAGATGATGGAACTCGCTCTATAAAATTTGTCATGCCTTGTTTATATGATCTTAAATTTTGATATAATTCCATTGGTAAACAACAGAGTTATTTAGGATCTAAAGTAGGACATGTTCCTTTGACACTTAGTAACATCTAAAAGACTTTGATAATGTTCTATTATAACAAAAATGTAGCTCCCACTACCTTGCCATACATCTGTATTGATTTCAGTCTACTATTTACTCTAGAAGAACCTCAACCTGGTCAGACAATTTGCTCTTCTATGTAGACTGCTTGATTGCTCTTGAAATGGATCAGCTCATTACTTTGATATATTATGCTCTGGACACATCATCCAGTGGCAACACCTTGGACCTTATTTTTCACCAACAAATGACATATATCCAGTATTCTATAGATGACCCCTCTTCCTTCCAGTGATCATAGCAGCATCCTGTTATCTTGGCGTTATTTTCATCTTAAAGTACCTCACACCATATTGGACTGAAAAACTGTTTTGTGATTTCCCCTGGGGACAAGAACAAATTTCCTTCCATTCAGCTTAAAGTAAAAAAAGCCCCATGGATACCAAGACAATTGTTTGTCTTAGTCGTAAAAGAAAACTTGTACAAGCTTGTTGTCAAAATGCACCAAAAGAAAAAAAAAATGAATTTAAAAAATATTTGGCTTACAATGTGTATACTTATGTACAGACATGTGTACATATGTACCATTTACAGGCCTTTCTACACTAGAGCACCCATCCCTGTGGTAAACTCAACCAGGGCCACCACGGGGCTGCCCCGGGATGGTTATCGATTTTTCACCCATGAGTTCATCCCTGCGTTCTTCCCGCAAACAGTGTTTATATCGCCTCAAAAGTTTTCAACCCGTGGCATCATGTATAAAGTACTGAGCTCTTTAGTGCCGAATTCAGATATGTTTTAAAACATCAAAAGGCTGACAAAACTTGCCTTATTAAATCCTTATGATTTTAATTTATGTGGACATGCATAAACAAGCACATTTTAGTCATGGCCCTACTGTGAAGAAAGTAGGAACCGTGGCTTAATTTCACCCGTGTGTCTCCCAGGGGCATTCCCGAGTTTTCCCTAGTGTGAAAATGCCTTTTAACTTAATCACAACCTGAAAGTGAAAGGTTTATGTGCGTTAGTTTCTTATTTCTTTGCACTGCAGAGACATCATGAACATCTATGCAGAGCCTCCCCCAGGTATGTGTGTTGTGCCGGAAGAGGACATCACAAAGGTCAGTCTAAGCCCAATAATTTATAAATGCTAATAAAATTCAAGAAAACGAATCAGAAGTTAAAAGAGCACTGTTGTCCAGTGTTTTAAATGACGGGACAAAATCAACAGATTTACTTATGTTTATGTACCGGTACAAACATACGGCTGTTTCGGTAATTTTTTATTGTATGTATTGTTTATGTCTTGTATTGACTGATAATGATATGACAGCATGTGCGGTAGAGTGCTCAGGACCAACACAGTTCTGTAGATATTGGCCTTCAAAATATGCACAATTTAATATGTTGTCACATGTTACATGATGGCATCATTGTAACGTCACTTGAATTTTCATACATAACACATCCTGGTCTAGGTACACATACCGGTACCAAGTTTTAACCCAATCAAACCTGTAGTTCTGTAGATACTGGCCTTCAAAATATGCACTTTTAAAGGGACACTAGGTCCTGGAACAGCCCAATTGGGCTACAAAACGCACTTTGAACGAAATGATTTTAATCGGAAATAACATTTAAAAGTAGGATATAAACATCGACACAACTATCCTTTCAAAACTGGGCATTTTTGTGTAATTCCTGTATTATGCGTGCGAGAACGAATTTCGGGGTCCACTTTTGCGACCCCATAAATTCGAGCTGTTTGAATGCTTAGTTGTGATTTCATTCGTGAAGTGTTCGTCTTTTGCAGACGTTGAAGAAACCACTATTTTTGCATTTGTGATTGGTCACCGCTGTTCCTGAAACACACAACATCGTACACTGAGAACGACATGAAAAACGTATTCGTGCTCCCGGGCCGTCGTGTCCGATGTAAACAAGCGGGTTTTTTTCCGTCTTTTCTCGGGAACGGTAAGACATTAGGTTGGTTTCCTTTCAACCAGATGTTTGAAATAGGCTAAGTAAACAATCCAAAACATGAAATTTTCGAGGATTTCAGGACCTTGTGCCCCTTTAATATGACGTCACATGTCATGTGATGACGTCATCGTGACGCCACTCAAATTTTTATCTATAACACATTCCGGTCTAGGTACATACCAACTTTCAACCAAAGGTACATACCAACTTTCAACCAAATTGGACATGTTGTTCTGTAGATATAGACCTTTATAATATGTACATTTAATGTGACGTCACATCTCATCATCATCATGGTGACGTCTGTGCGCGAGCAGCGCACAGGCGTTGCTTAGTGGCTGCATAATAACATATTAATTGTTCGTTTCTACTGTTGAGCTTGGTGTAGTTGAGTCAGGTCCGTACCAACCATCCTCAGGTCGTCCAGAAGTTGCTGTTGATAGGTTCGCATAAGTGCGCCACCTCTTCGGTATGGTTCTGTAGGTTGGTTGTTTTTGTCCAAGAGCAATGAGAGGGGTGTGTCACGCCTGGTTGCGTGGGCAATCAGTTGTAGGCGGTGTTTGCGAAGGGTTGTTGATGCCTGTGGGATTTTGGTTTGGCGATAAAGTTCAACATTGGTGATGCGTTTGGGGTATCTGATGTTGAGTGCGTAGCGTAGCAAAGCTCGATGTGATGCGTCGATGGTTTTTGCGAGCGTTTCTGTTAGCGTCCAGCTGGCCCCACTGTAGAACAGCACCGACTCAATGCAGGCAGTAAATAGTTTGACCTTCAGGTGATTGCTTGCTGTACAGGTCCATACTATATCGAGTTTTCGGCACGCCACCCATGCGAGATGTCGTCGGCGTTGGAAAGCTGATTGACTGTTGCTAACGTTGCATCCCAAGTAGCAGAACTCTGTGCACGGGGGCAGCGGATCACCTGATAGTGTATGGATTGGTGAAATTTGGTCAATGCCAATGTACATGACCACAGTTTTCTGCGGGTTTATACGCAGACCAACTTGTGCTGAAGCACGTTCAAAACGGTGAAATTGGCGCTGTGCAGCATCGACTGTATCACTCATCAGTACAACGTCATCGGCGTAGGCAAGACCAGGTAACTTAACTGCCAGGTTACGTGAAGACAGCCGTCGGCGAACCGTGTACCCATCAGCATCTTCACATAATGAAATGCGGAGAACATAGTCTAGCAGGATGATGAACAGGTATGGCGCCAAAGTGTCACCTTGCAACACACCAGATGTTGTTCTGAACCGATCTGTGTCACCTGATGATGTTCGCACGTATGCTTCAGTGTTAGTGTACAGAGACATGATGGCATCGATTATTTGCGTAGGTACTCCATAGAATTCGAGGATCTCAGGTAGGCATGCTCTGTCTACATAGTCAAATGCTTTGCTATAGTCGGCGAATATAGCAACAAGGCTCTTATTGCGTGCACTGCATGTATCAATACAGAGTTTGATGCACAAGATTTGCTCTGTAGTGTTGCGGTAGGGTCGAAAGCCGGCTTGCAGATTCCAAAGTAAAGATTCAATTCGGCCGCGTAAACGCTCAAGCATAACTCGATTGAACAACTTGGCGTTGACTGACATTAACGAAAGTCCACGTTGGTTGTTGAGCGATGTTGAGTTGCTCTTCTTCGGTACTGTAACAATGATGGAAGTCGTGAACGCTGGGGGTGGTGGGTTACCAGCCACGATGGAGTTCATGGTTGGAAGCGTTAAGCTGGCTATTGACAGCAGTCTAGCGACATCGGATGGTATGTTGTCAGGACCACTTGCTTTCCCGCACGGTATGGTTTTGCAAGCCTTGAGTAGTTCTCTGTCGTTTATTGGGCCGATATCTATGGTAGGTGCATGGTCAATTTGTTGTATGGTAATGGGTTCTAGAGTGACTGGTTGGTGAGGGGCATTGAGCAAGTCACGGAAGTGATCGTGGACTTTGGAAAGTCGATCTTCGATCGAGTCAGCTGCTATAAGTGCTGGTGGCCTGTTCTTCTTGCATGTCATATGCGCGATGCCTTTCCAAACAGCTTTGCCTCGTCCGGCTTCATGGTGCTTATTGATTTCGTCAGCCACCTCACTGATTATTTCTTCTCGTCGGCGCTTGTATGTTTCGTCAATGAACGCTTCCAGCTCAAGTTGAGCAGAGTTCGGATTTCGTCTTCGTGCTTCTGTCAAAGCCGAACGTGCCTGTTGTACCTGTAGGTCGTTGTCCCATAAACACGTTTGTGGTGGGTTGCGTTTGCACTTGGGCAGAGTTGTATCTGCTGCAGCATGTATTGCTTCAGCAACAGACCGGTAGTTGTCACGTCCGCCAAGTAAACGTGTGACCTCTTCCACGAACCGTCGACGTGTGGCGGTTACTTTGAGAGACAGCCAGTGTGGTGGTCTCGTTGCGGACTTGTGATGTTTTGTTGGTCGCCATACTCTGAGACTGAGTCGTGTGATCACCATTGCGTGGTCGGACCGCACGCACTGTAATCTCACCGTTTGTACCTTTTGAATGATCCGTGCCTTGCTTTGACTGATGAAAACGTAGTCCAGGCGAGCTTTTCGATTACGAGGTCCATAGAATGTCACGATTTTAGATTGTTTTTGTCTCATAACCCCATTGATAGCAATGAGTTCGTTGGATGCAACAAAATTAGCCACTTCGTTGGTATGAGGTGAGGTTGTTTGTCGAAAGCCATGGTAGTTTTTGATGGTAATACCGTCAGCAGGTAAGTCGGCGTTCATGTCGCCTGCAACCACAGTTATATCGCGTGTGGATCTGGAAGCGAGGTAAGAGTTCATAATGTCGATGCAGTCGACTGTTTCTTGCAGGTTGCCACATGATGTGGGCATGTATGCATTCAGAACGTTCAGTTTCATGTTGTGAAGTTGTATCGCTATTGTAGTGATTCGATCATGTAACTTTTCGAAGCCAAGTATGGCCGATTTGATATGGGGTGCCAGTAGAAATGATACACCCCCGTGCCCTCCAGTTCGAGCTGAGGCCATATAGACGGTCCAGCCCTTGCCAACGTCAATAACGGATGTTTCGTCAATTATAACTCGTCGATGCTCTTGGATGCATAAAATGTCAATGTTTTGTTCCTTGCAGAAATTTGTAAGTTCATATAAGCGACTGTCTTTGGTGAGGGTACGTACGTTATATGTAGCTACTGAAACAGATGCGGGGGCCGATGGTGTGGCCTCACGGCCCCGCCGGGCAAGGCGCGGGTCCGAATGAGCAGGAACTGCAGAAGGTGAAGAGTAATGGAATGGACGTCTTAAAACTGAGCGATGTCCCTGGTGTGTAGGTTTAACAGAACATATACCATAGTCCTGTAGTAAGTGATAGGTGGTTAATGGCAGTGGGGTTCCAGCACACTCAGCTTGAATTGACAATAGATCTTCTCTTGAGTAGGAGTAGATACTGGTAAGCATTGTTGTGAATGTACATGTACATGTACATGTACATGTAATTGTTGCTGTCAGGGTCCAAAGAATCTCAACAATAGAGACAATGGAAATGCAGACCATGGTTCATTCAGTCAGATGGAGAAAGCACTAGCCATGTGTAGTACATGTACTGCTGTATACTTGTTGATGTAGGTTTCAGAAATATGGTGTAAAACTTGGAGCATTGATTTGCTTTAGTAGAAGTCTCTGTTGGTCACAAAACCAGTCTAGTAGGATGCTGGAGTGATACTTGACAGATTGTTGGAGAATGTAAACAAACTGGAAACACAGGACTGGCTTAATATTACAAACATGCAGAGCTCATAGCACAGTGCAACCCAGAGGGGCGCCACTTACGTATCATGATGATGTCATCGTTACATCACTTGAATTTTCATCTACAACACATCCCGGTTTAGGTACATACCAAGTTTCAACCCAATCAGACATGTAGTGATGGAGATATTTCAAAATATGTACCTGTATTGTGACATCAAGGGTCATGTGATGAGGTCATGACATCAATATTCGGCACACATCTTCAGATGCTGGTCTAAATTTGTGCCAAGTATAAAGTCAATCGAATTGATTTTAGCCCAAAGTGCCTTCCACGATGAAAACGTGTACATGTACAAATGCTATGGGGAATGGCTGAAAAAGAAGAAAGAAAAAAGAACTAGAGATACTATGTCTGTTTGCAACAGAACATAGGGCTTTTTTGCAGTTTTTGTCTTTATTTTGTATTGATGATGTCATGACACCTTTCTCACAATTTGCTAAACCTATGGCCAAACCTATTGTAAAAAAGAAATTAATTGAGTGGTTGGGCACAACCCGACCACTCTCTATTATTGTTACGATTAATCTTTTTTTTTTCTGTACAGCACGTTTCCGCGGGTTTTCTCCTAAACGGTTTATGATATGAACTTGTAACTTTCAATATATATCGACCCTCATCCTAAGTGGTGCATATTACTCTGACGTCATTATGACGTCATCGGGAGTCAAATTACAAGCGATTTTCGTTAAAAAAATGATGATCTTCTGTCACCTATAACTCTTGAACAAAATGATCAATCATGTTCCAACCTTGTAATCAGATTTTAAAATTAAACATTTTATGTCGTGTACGTGAACTACATGTATCTTGACCTTGTCTTGACCTTGTCTTGAAATTTAGGTGAATTAAAAATGTAGACATTAGCCTGAAATAAAAAAAAAAAGCACCGTTTCTTCCGAACGGTTTACGATATGATCATAAAACCTAGTGTGAACTTGTACCGTGTTACGCAGATGTAATAACGTCATCGGGTATCAAATAACAAGCAATTTGATGGCACGATTTGACAAAATAGTTTGCATTATATCTTTTGAACTAAATAGAGTATCGTGTTCATTTTTTTCGTGAGGTTGTAGACTATGCTGTGAGCAACATTTCTTATGCCCGGGCACAAAACTGCTTGACCTTCTCTTCCGGTGTTACCGGAAGTGCAATAGAAATGGAAGCATTTTACTACAGACAAATACATTATGGAAGTGTTAAATGAGGAATGCCAAACACAAAAACATAATTTTGACGTCATCCCACAAAAGGGCGCCCTCTAGCGGCACCTCAAAAACAGTTTAATCCTTTGAAATGTTAAAACTCTCAATCAAATTTTTATTAAATTGCCCCTATATATCGCATGAGCAACCACAAATGAATTTGCAAGGTTTCATAATCATGACGTCATCAGACCGGAAGTTACTGTGGGGAGAATTCAACAATGATCATTTTATTTTTAATTTAAATCCATCATTTGATCGCTGTCTCATGACTTTGTTTTTTGCCCCCAAAAATGACATTTGTTACACTTAATATTGGCCTTTTGCTTCTAAATACTGTGACGTCATCAAACCGGAAATTTGCTGTTATTATTACATACACTTAATTTTCATAAGTTTCCATGCGTTATTTTTACTTACATGTAATGATAAACAAGTATCCCCCTTTCCCTTTTTGACTGATGACGTCAGCAAACCGGAAATAGCTTGTACGTGTACCTAAATCTTTACTGAAATATATCCTAAAAGACGTATTCTTTTTTACAAAATAATTGGTAATGGAAATGTTAAAGTTCTTGATCCTTTTTTCTGACATAAACATATACATTTACTTAACTGGACAATGTCTAATGAAATTGTTTACCTGACCACTCTGCGTTTGTAACAACAAACGCGAACCTCTAGTTTAATGTGTTTTGTTTGTTCCTTAAAAGTTGGTATGGTTTCCCCAAACGATTCCATACGGCGACATCATCTTGATAGCACTTGTCAATACACATTTTTGCATTGTAGTCTTGTTTGTTTGTACCAAGATTGGAGTCAATCTGATCCTATGATCTGATGAAAGAAGTGTTAAATGTTGACATGCTGTGAATCCTCTTTTGGGCAATTCCACGGTTACTCACGTTACATTTTTGATGTACTTTTGAGTTTCCTTGGGCTGTAATTACCTTACTGAAAAGGTTTAATAACTGTTATCCCCATGGTAGATGGAGTAGACCCAGACCTACCTAAGCACCAAAGATGACATCCAGAAAATGTGTTACGTATGATAAACAAGACGCACAAAATCGGTTACTCCCGTTACATTTTTGTAAAAAAAATAAACTTTAACGAAAACAAAAGCTGTGTCAGCTGGTTGCCAAAACTGCCAATAAATGACCACAGACATCATGGTTTAGCCACTAGTAAGTATACAATGTAGAGGCAGTTTTGCAGACATGTTGATACCCAGCATCTGTGGTCATTGTTCCAAAAAGATGTATGTTGAGCTGTGAGCAAAGTGGGTGTAGCTGCATGTACACATGATAGGCAATCAGCTCTGGTTTTGATTAACAAAATCGTTTTTTGTGCCGATGCGCCTGGTTCTGGAAGGTTGCCGCTTTGGTCTAAATTGGTTTTGTTAGTTCTGCAGCCGATTTCACGCTGCGCAACATTTTCAGTTCTGACACATTTCACAAAAGTTTCATAGTATGGAAGTCAACTTCGTCATCACCAAATGAATTTTTATCGATCCTTGGCCTGCTGATCCAACTGCAGTCACCTTCAGAGATTGCTTCGTGGGTTGTTTTTTTTAATTTGTTTTTTTTTACCTCCAAAAATATTAAATCCAAAACATGTTCTCATTTATTCTTTACTTACTTGTATTTCTCATAGATAAACTGTTTGTTTTGAACCAGTTTAAAAGAGGTAATGTAGGTTTCATGAACCTATGTTAGTTCGATGGATGCATACACAAACCTTCACAATGCGTCTCTCACATCAGTTCTTGCTTTCTTAAGAAAAAGGCATTATTTTCACTTTTAAGTGGTTCCAGAAATTAACAATGATACATGCCCAGATATTTGAAATACATGTACGTGTGTGTGAATACAGAGGGGTGCATACCTATGTTCCCCAACCCTAACCCTAACCTTAACCCCTAACCTTAAGGATTTGGGGAACATAGGTATTGGGGAACATCAGTACAGTGTTCCTTCTTAACTCACCGATAACAGCTTTTGTATTTCCTATTTTCCTTGGTAAGCAAACAGCAAGTGATGTCAGTATTGTATCTCTTCTGTCAATCAACTGTAACTGATGACATAGCCTGCCCTGATTTTAAAAAAAATATTTAGAACATTTAAATTCAGCTATCTTCCTGCTGTTACTTTGTGCTAAATTCAGAAAGGCTACTTCAAAACTTTGCCTTGAATCATAGGCTACAGGTTATTATATTAGAATACATACATGGATGTTGTGGGTGTGCATGTTGTATGGCTTTGAGGCGAAGGAGGTTTCACATTGCAAATGTCCAGGTTAAACAGCTGGAGATCAAGGCTGATAAAACACCAATAAATCAAGTTGAACTAATTTTGTCTGGCATAAAGACTCTTCAAATATATATAAATTTAGTATACTACATGTACATTTAGAGATTTTTTTCTCTTCACTTTCAAATTTTCACAAACTAAATATCTGTGTAAGTTTAGATTTTACTCAAAAGCTTTTACTATTTTAACTTGGGAATCCTCTGAAGTTTTAAATGTGGGAGGAATTTCCATATGAAAATTCTGAGGAAATCCACTGAACCAAAACAGGGACTGAAAACCCAATCCACATACATGTATTGGCCGAGGCAGGAATCAAACCTGGGTCACCGCGGTGGAAGGCGAGGAAAGTACACCAACCTGACTCCTCTTTGTTTCATTATGTACTCTTGCATCTTTTTTTGCTTTCTCTATTATCCTAACAGATTGGATTACTATCTCTGTTATTATTTTTTTTCCAGGTACATGCCTTGATAACAGGTCCATTTGACACACCCTATGAAGGAGGTTTCTTCCATTTCTTGATCCGGTTCCCACCAGATTACCCAATAAGGCCACCGCGTGTTAAGCTGGTCACTACAGGAGAAGGAAAGGTCCGTTTTAATCCCAATTTGTATCGAAATGGCAAGGTCTGCTTAAGTATACTTGGGTAAGGTTCTTTTTCATGTAGTTCATTAAAACATTTTACTGCAATTTTTAAGCTCAAAGCCAGGTTTCTGAAATGTTAATTTGGATAGAAATCATTTAATGCTTATCTACCGGTAGTCAGGCACACTATCCAGTGCTGAATACCTGTAAAATGGAACAGTATTCTCATTAGAAATAGTATGGATCATTTTCATTTTATTTAACAAATACAACTAGAAATGTGTTTGTGGGCAAACGCTGAGCTTTTTCGACCGTTTTAGCAACAACTGCCATGAAGGAGTTTCATCCAAGTGGAATGTACATGTACATATGTATTCTTCTAAAAATCATTAGACTGTCTAGAAGTGAGTTTGGTGTTATAAATTAGCAAAATGTACATGATGTCGTATGAGTAATGATGACGTCATCGCGACATCTCTTGTTTAGAAACAATGCAAGTTAAGGGTCTGGGTAAGTCCCTACCTTGAAGTCGATCGGATCATATTTTATGTTATTTTTAGTAATTAGAAGAAAATACAAAAATTTTAAAAATTAATAAAAAATCAGATGATGACGTCATGATGACGTCACTTCAGATTTTGAATGCTTTTATCAATACCTACCTACCCACCAAGTTTCATAACGATTGGACATACCCTTATATGTGAATTTAAAAAATCACGTTTTTGATGACATCATGATGATGTCACACATTTTATGAAATTTTGTGCATCTATCTATGACCTAACAAACCTTTTACAAAAACATTTTTGAATTTACCACGTTCTGTTTATGAGATATCACTAAAAGGTCCAAAAATTGAATAATTCATATAAAATCACATGATGACGTCATCGTGACATCACTGCAATTTTTGTCTATAACACGTCCCGGAATACCTGCATACCGAGTTTGAAGCCCAACGGGCTTCTGGTTCTTTGGATAAAGGGCCTTAAAATATGCACTTTTAGGATGACGTCACGTGACACGTAATGGTCATGATGACGTCAGTAATGATTCTGCCTGAATCCTCAGATGGTGGTCTAAGTGTGTGCCAGGTTTGAAGTCGATCGGATTTGAAAAAAGTCCAAAAGTGCCCTGCAGAATGAAAATACGTGTTATCCTATGGAAAAAAAGTGGAAGAAAAAAAAAAGAGAAGAAACTAGATTTATGTTTGTGGACATACACAGGGCTATTTCGGTAACTTTTTAGTGACATATATGTGACATAGTTTCAAGTATAAGTTCCATCCAGGAAGGATGTGTAGTTATGTATATATTAAATGGTGACATATAAATATGTGATTACATTCTCATAGGGCTTTGAATTATGACGTCCCATGTCACGTGATGACGATGATGACATCACATCAAAAAGGAAAATAATTTGTTATTGTATTTTTATGTCATGTAAGGCTGATAGGACAACATGTGCGGTAGTGATCAGGACCAATACAGTTCTGTAGATATTGGCCTTCAAAATATGCACTTTTAATATGACGTCACATGTCACGTGATGACGTTATCGTGACGTCACTTCAATTTTCATCTATAACACATCCCGGTCTAGGTACGTACCAAGTTTCAACCCAATCGGACCTATAGTTCTGTAGATATAGGCCTTCAAAATATGCTCTTTCAATATGACGTCACATGTCACATGATTACGTCATCGTGACATTACTTAAATTGTCATCTATAACACATCCCGGTTTATGTACATACCAAGTTTCAACCCAATCAGACCTGTAGTTCTGTAGATATAGGCCTTCAAAATATGCTCTTTTAATATGACGTCACATGTCACGTGATGACGTCATCGTGACATCACTTCAATTTTCATCTGCAACACATCCCAGTCTAGGTACGTACCAAGTTTCAACCCAATCGGACCTTAGTTATGGAGATATAGGCCTTGAAAATATATATGTCAGATCTAGCAGAAAGCTGCTAGAAAATGGTCACCGCAGAAAAATCACATATAATGCAACGCAGGCGCGTACGCAGGGGGGGTGTTTTGGCTGTTAAACACCCCCCTTTGCCATGTAAAAATATGGAGGGAAAAGAGAGTTATGTGACCGAGCGCGGAACACTTACAAATTATGTGCATGTTCTCAACTTTAAGCTTTGAATACAGAAGACACTTTGTAAGAGCAAGAGTATATAGGCCTATATGTATTTGAAACAAATGAAACAAAATATCCCCTCATAATTTAAAAAACTTCTGCTAAAAAAACCAGGGGAAAGTGGCCAGGAAACGCCTCAGATTGCACCACAGAGCATCTACGATCCAAAATTTCCCGGGGCCCTTAAGCGGGCCCCGGACCCCACGCCGTAAGTGCTTCGCGCTCCGCGCTCGCATTGGTCCTCCGGCCAAATTAACGTTTTACTGTTTTGGATTTCCTCAAAAACAAAAACAGTAAACGAACCATTGACCGTTTTCTCGTTTTACAGTTTTGTAAAACGGTCAAACGGTATTACATGTAAGTCACACACAAAAATACTTTTTGTTGTTGTTTTTAATTGTAAAAAGCGTTAAACGGTTAGTTGCTTTATTTTTAGAGTGTTGTTTTACAAAATCATGACAATGACAAAACGGTCAATAGTCTTGCCGACCATTTTTTGATTTTAGGTTCGGCAATTAAGCAACGCACCGGAATGTTAATTAATGCGTCCTTGGGATCGAGTCATTGCCTGGGCCCCGCTCCTTACATTTCGTTCTCACGACAAAATTTGCGAATTGGCTATTGAAGGGCCGCGTCGACTTGAACCCCAGTTTCCTTCAAAATGTCTGCAACTTCATCAAACGTCTTATTACCATCCTGTTTCCATTGTGAAAAGTAATGTCCTCCCTTGAAGTTTTACAGCGCCATTTTGCTTGGAACTCTTTAAGCCCCACCAACTTGACTGAATCGCATGAGAAAGGGGTCAGGGTCCGCGCCAGGAATCACATCACGCATTAATTATGCCGAGGTAACACTTCTTCGTGTAAAACATGGTCCCCCTCTACCCCCTTGCCCACCGCCACAAAATGCACCACGGACTGTTAACCATGACACTGGAATGAAAAAAACAGTCTGTATTTGTGTAATCTGTAAAACAAAAATCATTGATCGTTATGCTATAATGAATTTTACTAAACTTATAAAACGGAGAAACCGTATTTATCTTAATACCGCTTGTCGTTTTATAACACTGTAAAACGACAAAACAGTCGATGATTCGTTTACTGTTTTTGTTTTTTAGGAAATCCAAAACGGTAAAACGAAATAACGGTATGTCTCGGGATTCAAATTCCCTCTATGCTATAATTTCACCCTAGCGGTGCCCCCACCATTTTGTACCTTCAGCAGCGAATGGCTCTACAAGTGGCATAAATCCCTTTCCAAAATAGAAAATTGTGAAAAAATACGGAGATGGAACATGGTTCTCAACTTTGAGTACGTAACAAACTTTAAAAACAACAAAAAAAAATAACAAATTTAAATGGAATTTTCGATGTTTAAAACGTTTTCTAAACGGTGGAAGTGGCCAGGAATCGCCTCAGATTGCACCACAGAGCATCTAAAATCCATTTTTTTCCCCGGGGCCCTTAAGCGGGCCCCGGACCCCACGCCGTAAGGGCTTCGCAGGTCCTGGACCCTTCATTACAATAATTCTAGGCCCCCGGCAAATGGTAGTCTGAATCCGCTCCTGTGACCAGAGCGCATATGTATCCTGTATCTGAAGTTTGGCCTTAGGGGTGGGGCGGTTTACACAAAGATTCCCAACGGATGAGAATCATGAGATCCAGGGGACGAAGCTGAGTGATTTTAGTCAATAACAAGAACAGATCCTAGCACTTCCGCAGCCCGTGTCACTTTTTTTCTTGAATTTCTTCTTTTTTTTTGGTTTAAATGCTGTTGAGGGAGGGGACTGCCCACATTGACCCCTTTACTCATATGTTCATCATACTCTAAAGACACAGAACATTTTTTTTCCCGATTTACTATGCTTTAGCTCAAAAAGATTACTGATGGTCGTGGGTTCCCGGCCCTTCGAGTTTAACCCATCCAAATATACCCTCTTTTATTTCTGGCGCCAACACAAACTCCTGACTTTTATTTTAGCGTAAAGTTTAGCCCACTGATACTATTTTTTATTTCTGGCGCCAACACAATTTACCATCTTCATTTCTAGCGTCATAAATGACGACATCCAATTTTGAAACACCCCCCTTGAAAAAATCCTGCGTACGCCACTGATGCAACGTAACTTGGCACGTGATGACGTCACGATGACGTCAATGTTCACAGCGATGTTCACTGTGTACGTGCACTGTATGTTTAGATTATGTTAAACACATTTGAAACCTCTCTGTTTTCATTTCACCACTAATCAGGAATATAGGGGAAAACTAACTTGACTTGAACTAATACCAGCGTGGCAGACAGGATAGATTTACACTACCTTTTTTTTCAAAGGCCTGCCACAACCAATATGTAAGGTGTAACCATCTTAGTTATGTATAAGGTCAAAGTAAACATTCATTATTTCAAGTTAAAAAACAATCCATGAAACTAGAGGATTCAGTGGCTGTATAGAGACAAAGTGAAATCAGCGTGACAGCCGGGACGGAAACTCCACTCCATATTTTGAAATTGACTTTCATTGGAAAAAGCTATCTGTTCCCCTGGGAAATGTAATGTTTTTTGTCTTTTAAATTTAATCACTTTCATGCCAATAATCAGTGAACACTTGACTTAGTAATTCAAAACATGGACCTGGAAACACCAGGCTCATTAATGTTGTGACAAACGGGATATTTATATGCTAAATAAATGTAGGCACAAATAAGAAAGACTAGTAGTACATGTATATTAAAAACCAGAAGAGTTTGCAAAAAATGTATGTTTAGTTTTTTTTTAACCTAGAAGTGATTGAAAAAATGTGACAGAGGGGACAAAGTTATAGCAAAGGGGTAAATTGTGACAGACGGGACAGATTTTGAGATAAAATATCAGATCAACTATACTATTACATC